CTCTGCCATGCCTTTCCCAACACGGTGGGCTGAAACCCTCTTAGATGAGCCAAAATGCATCTCTCTTCCCTCAAGTTGCTCCTGTCAGGGATCTGGCTCACAGTGACGAAGACACAACCAACACCAGCATGCCAAGCATTCCAGCAAGGCTCTATCCGGTAACCCCGCCGCTCTGTTCAAAGATGAAGACTCACTCCTGATGTTTGATGGAAACTCGCCAAACCACGACACCTGCTCCAAGCTCTTCCTGAGAAGTCTCCAGGTCATGAAATTACACAGCTCTGACATCTCCAGGGGCCCTCTTTGAGGAAGGCGTGTATAGAGCTACTGCCTCCAGGCAATGCTCACAGAATGCCCCTCCGTGTCTTCTCACAAAATCTCCATGAGTCAGGACATATTGGACCCATTTTACAGGGATCAAGCAAAGGCTTCTGATGGTCAAGAATGTTCCCTAGGTCCTCAAGGCTGCTCAGTGGTCAATATGGAACCTCAGTCAGCCTTCTAGACCTCAGTGCCCTTCTTTGTGCCGTTTCTGTCAACACAAAATCCTAGACTCTACCCTTCTTGGTTGGAAACATAGGATGAAATACTTCAGGGGAGGGTTCCATTTTTTCATGGGGCATCACAGACTACTTTTTTTTTTTTTAAATCTCAAGCAGAATTTTAATTCGTACCAACCAAAGTAATGAATGGGGCTATGACGTGCTAAAGACGTTGGGAATGAAGCATCTGTGAAGAGAGACACCATCTCCAAGCTCCCTGGCTAGGGAGCCCAAAGCTTGTCACATGGCCTGCCATTCTCTGCAGGAGTGACAGCAGAAAGGGACATACACGGAGGTGTCTCTGTTCACACACAGAGCAAGCTGGCACCAGGTCAGGCTTGAAGCAAGCCCCTCCCTGTTCTGGGCCTCTCCTCTACCCTCGCCCGCCTGTAGCTGGTGTTGAGCAAATCTGAGGTTACATCGTACACTGAGTGAACCTGATTCTGGGATGACCCCCACCACCTGATAGATTATGACAGCAAAGCTATTAGCAAAAAAAAAAAAAAAAAAAGGAGACCTTTAGGGTTCCCTGGGCTGGGGACTGTCAGCCCTGTGTATGCTAGGGTCACCCCAGGGCTGAGACAGTCCGGGGCCAGCCTTCTTGGGGACAGCTGTTCTGGGGTGGCGCTGGGCCTCAATGTGGTTTCAAAGCTCCTCATCAAATGCTTGTGGGATGTGGCCACACGATTGACCCAACTGCCCCGTTTTAGAGATGAGGAGCCCAACTGTGGGGCTTTGGGAGGATTTTTCTCTATCTGGAGTCATGCAGGGACCAGGACAGGCAGTAGGAAGCTCACATCTGGACAGATCGGCAAGCAGAATGGAATGAGGGCTGGCCTCTGGGGGATGAGGCTCCCTTTCCTTGATATCAGACTCAGACCCCCGACTGGGGGATGATGCCCTACCTTCCTCAGCTGGTCCGCTCTAGAAACAGCCCCCCGCCAATTGGGCCCAAAAGTATTCTGTACCAATGCCATAGGCACTTTCTAACCCCACCAAGCTGACCGTGGAAATAAACCATCAAAATCCTGTTTGTGACCTCAGTTAGACCTGGGGGTCATTCAGTCCTGTACTGATTAGCTCTGTATTAACTAGCTGTGTGTTCTTTGACAAATTAATCAACCTCTGTGAGATTTGTGTTCATTATCTACTGTTTGGGGATCATAGCAGCACTAACTGCACATTTGAGTCTGCTTTGGGGACACTCAGCAGCTGGAAACTATTTTGACCAAGTCATTCAAATCACTCCACCAGTTCCCTTACAGCTGGGACCCCAGATCACATGAGACCAAAATGGATATTCAGAGAAGTCAAAGCACTTGCTTGAGGTCACACAGACCTGGGTGGGGCAGGTCTGGAACTGGACCACAGACCCTAGACTTTCATTTAGCCCGTGGGTTTTCCATAGATGCTGTTTGCCAGGACACCCGTATCTGCAGCATCTCTCAGGCCTGGCTGGCTCGTTGCATTGCCTGGAAAATGAGCCTGGAAAATCAACTCCTTGTTAGAACTCCTATGGGGAGTACATAGAACGAAGCAAACCACTGTCCCTACAGCCCCACAGTCAGCTGAGCCCCTGGAAGGAGACTAATGAAAACCATGAATCCTGGGCTGCAACAGCTGTGGGGGATGGGTGAGGGTGAGCTGGGTAGAGAGAGAGGGAGGGAGGGAGAGAGAGAAGAACTCATTTGCAAATGAGCAGGAACTGCTTAGCTGTGGATTTAGTGTCCGAGGAGGGACCATCCGTTACATTTATGGGAGAGATAATTGCTTAGGATCGCCCAGAGCAGCAGACAGAGGCGCTGCAGGAAACAGGTTTGGACAGGCCATAGGGGGATGCCTCGAATCAGCAAGAAACCCCAGACAAAGGCCACTGGCAGGTAGAAGGAGCTGACCCAACCCAGAGGAGTCTTTCTTCCCACAGTGTTCGCTCACACTAGGGTCACCGCTCCATATTAGACCTAGCTGAAGGGGAACTGGAGGAGATCAATCAAGCCAACAGCAAAGAGGTAGCCAGTGGGGTGTCGAAAGAACACGTCTGAAAGCAGAAAAGTAGGCATGACCATATTCAGCCACAAAGGCTCTGTGGCCCAGCCCATCTGTCTTGCCCTCTCTGGCCCTCAGTTACCTCTCTCTTTCTAAATACTAATCAATTTCTTTTACAGTTTCATACATGTACGAAACACACTGTAACCACTCTCCACTCTCACTGCCTCCCCAGCCCTGGCAATCCCCACTCCTCCCTCCAGAGTCCTTTCCCATGTTGACATCTTTTTTGTTTTGTTTTATGACCCCCACCTCTCTCAAGTTAGGCTTAACCATAACTGTGTGTTCCCATGGTCATGGAAATGTCCGATGGAGCTTGGAGGGTTTACCAGTGGACACACATCCTAAAATAACAGCTCCTCCTCCTGCCGAATCCATCAGCTCAGGAGGGAGGGGCAGGGTCCCACGAGTCCTTCTTCCACCCGTGATTGGCTATAGACAGGTCCCATCTTTCCCAGACTGTAGTTGCTGAAAGTCCATCACTGTGATGGTTATGTCATGCCCAGAATATGGGGAGAAGAAAGGGAGGCAAGGAGTACATTCTTGGAGAGAGAGAGAGAGAGAGAAAGAGAGAGAGAGAGAGAGAGATTACTGGAGGTAGAAAATTTTAAGTGTGGATAGAATAAGAGGATAGGGAAGAAGGGGATTCAGTGCAGGAAACAGTTTTCCTGCAGGGTGAGCCAAACTCCAACTTTCTGAGTCCCACAGAAAAGAGAGAGCAAGGCTCAGCCAGGTAGAGCCAGGCAGGGCAGTTAGCAGCCCCAGGTAGGGCCAGCAGCTGTTGGCAGTGTGCCGTGGGCTTCCTGATAATGACAGCTTGGAAAATAGCACCCACGTTCCCCACTGAGCTGCCAAGTTGACTGAGGGCAAGCCAACCATGGCTCTGGGATGTTTCTTTAGTGACAGGGATTTGGGGGACCAGGTAGATCAGGCTCAAGATGATCCTATCCCACTAGGATCTGGGAGCATTTGAGGATGGTGAGCACAGGCACCCCCTATAAGGATGACTGTGGGGAGGGGCAGCAGGGAGGGAGAGGCAGGGACTGGTGCAGCCGAAAGGCAAGAGTCCCAGCAACAGCCCCAGCAATAGCCCCTGGAAGCCCCTCTATCCAGCTTCCGAATTCTCATTAAATCTGAAAACTGGAGCCTACCTCAGGCTCTTTTCTCCTCCAAGCACATTTTTTTTCCTTAACTTCAGGGTAGATGTATTGTGGACGTGTGCTTTGGGTCCATGGAGTAGGGAGGGTTTCGGGGAGAGTGTCTGTTTGGGGGTCTGAAATCCCTGTTCCTTGTTAATCAGAGCTGAGAAATCACCCTCCAGAAACAGGCTTTTCTGCTAGCAATGCCAACTCCTCAGCTCTTCCTGAGAACCAAGCTGGGACCACCATCAATGGTGACAGAGATGATAGCCACATGATAGAGGCAGCTGCTTGGCCATCTCTACAGCTTACCTACCTTCAAATAGTGTCCCTCACTCACTACCTCTGCTGGCCTCAGGGCCTCGAGCTGCAGAGGTGTGGTCCCCAGTGACATCACGACCCTCTCCTCTCCTCTCCTCTCCTCTCCTCTCCTCTCCCAGGCGGCTCCACTCCAGGTCCTCGCCTAGCTCTTCATACAGCTGAGAACAGCTCCAGAAGTCACGGTGGCAGGTGGTGACAGCTCTTGGGTCAGGCCCCATGGCCTTCTTTCTTGCCCAGTTACACTTGGGTGGTCTGGCAGGCGAGGCCACCTCGGGGATGCTTGAATGCTTTGTATGGAAACCCAGCACACACCTGGCCACCCTGGGATGCTGCAAAGCTTTCTGTATGTAGGCCCAGCATGTGCCTGGCTCTCTGCTCCACAGATGAACAGGTAAGGTGAGGCATGAAGAAAAAACTACACTGAGTCTCCGCCCAGTTTCCATCACACAGCTTCTTTTTATCTAGTCTTGGGCCCTAGTTCATGGTCCGTGGACATGAACCACGTGGACAGAACCACCCACATTTGGGGTGGGTGTTCTCTTCTCTGTTAAAGCTCTCTGAAAATGCCCTCAGAGACACACCCACAGGTATGTCTCCCAGGTAATTCCAAACCCAATCTCAATACTAAAGGAGGCTGTCCATCACTCACACAGCATAACAATGTCACACTGCCTCGCCAGTGAAGCGCTAGAGCAGATGACTGAGCCCTGACAGTCTGGGATGTATCAGGAAGTTCTCAGCCCTGCTCCTCCCTCCTCCAGGGCTTAAGACCATACCCAGAGTGCCAAAGGCTCACACAAGGACTGAGGACACTTGAAATGTCTCAGTTTCTAGTGGCACCTAGGGTTGTAGGTGGGTCAGGAGAAAGGACCTTGTGAAAAAGCAGAGCTAGGGTTTGAATGTGCTCTCCATGGGTGACGTATTATAAAGTTATCCATCAACACGACAACAGTGCTGGAAAGTAGGCTCTTTAATGGGGGGGAGGGTGTCCAGAATCCGCTGGAGTGGGGGTCATTATGAATCCTCCTCTTCTGCCAGTAAAGCTTCAGGCATTGACAATGTCTCAGGCAGCTGGGGTTAGTTAGGGTTTAGGTATAAAATGGCTGCCATGCATTGAAGGGTAGCTATTTAGGGAGGCTCTATAAGGTCTGGGATGGAAGGCAAGATAAGTTGGGGGCAGCAGGTTCCTGGAGGTGCTTCCTGGAGGACTGGATCGTGTCCCAGCTCCCTCTACCCTCCCTCCGTCTTTGCTTCGTGTCTGCCATGAGAAGAGGCCAGGGGCCTCTGCCACATCCTCCCACCCCTGTGATGTCTGCCTCACCATGGGCCCAGAAGCAACAAAGCCACAGACTGTGGGCAGAAACCTTGGAGCCAAGGAAATAATCCCTTCCCTGGAGGCGTCCTCGTAGCTGCTTTGGTCGCCGCGATGAACAATTGACCAATTTGGGCTTAATGTGCCAAGATGACGAGAACCAGGTGACTAAACTGTCTTCGTCTTCATCAGCTGCATTTCTCCTCACAGTGAATTCTAGCTAACACAAATCAAAGGAGAATTTGCTTTGGGTTACCCTTTGCTATATGGTGAGGAAACCCTACTGGCTCAGCAGGAAGCAGAGAGCCCCGCAGGAGCAAAGCGAGCCTCTCACCCAGGGGTTCGCAGCCCGTGGGTCGTGACCACTCTAGGGTTCGAACAAACCTTTCACAGGGGTCGCCTGAGTCCATCGGAAAGCACAGGTGTTTGCATTACAATTCATAGCAGTAGCTAAGTTACAGTTATGAAGTACCAACTAAAATAACTTTATGGTTGGGGTCAGCACCTGAGGGGCTGTATTAGGGGGTCGGAGCGGAGCGTTAAGGAGGCCGAGAACCGCTGCTCTAGGCCTTATGACCCCCACCCCCAGCAACCTACTTCCGCCAGCGAAGCTCCACCTCCTGAAGATTGCGCAACCAAGCCCCAAGCTCACGTCTGATGCAACCCATTCGCATATCCCTAAAGATCCCACAACTGCCCGAAACAATACCTCCAACCAGGGTTCAAAACCGTGAGCCTGGGCGAGGGGCATTTCACGTTTAAACCATATTATCTCACGCTCTTGGGGTCTAGAAGTTCACAATGAAATTTGAGTTGAACTGATTTCTGGTGAGGGCCAACTCCAGGCATACAAATGCAACCCTTTGATTTCATCTTCATGTGGCGGTCAGAGAGGTCATCTCTCCTGCGTCTCTTTTCATAAGGGCACTAATTCCATCCATGAGGGTCCTGCCATGATCCAATTACTGTTCCATGGCCTCATGTCCACATATTATCAAGCTAGGTGCTTAGGTTTTATCTTATGGGTGTGAGTGGCTCAGGCTTACAACCATCTATCTAGTCCTAGTGGGCAAGAGCAGATAAGAAAATGCAAGTTAAATTGCTTGCTGCTGGTCGGGAGAGACAGACAGCCCGGAAGTTAAAAGCACTGTCTGCTCTTCCAGAGGAGCTGGGTTCAGTTCCCAGAACCCACATGGCAGCTCACAACCATCTTTAACTCCAGTTTCATGGGTTCTGACGCCCTCTTCTGGCCTCCACAGGCACTGCACATACATGGTGGCCCCGCACACAGACATTCAGACAAAATACCCATACACATAAAAAAAAATAAAATTTCAAAATATAAAATAACAATAAATAAATATCTTCCTGCCTGGAAGAAAGGGTGAAAAGGCTATGAAGTTGGAGAGCCGTGTGGTCAGGCAGGAGCAGGGGCAGAGGCAGGCTCAAGGCTCTAGCAAGGTTTTGTTTAGGGAAAAAAAAAAAACAAAAAAAAACCTGACACTGTTAACAAACACCCTGAGGCTCCATGAGTTGCCTGAGGACCTTCCAGATCCTGCAGATCCTGGGTGATTAGGAGGAGGAGGAGAAAGAAGAAGCCAGAGAAACTTGTAATGAAGAGAACCCTGTTATGAACTCAGGTCTTAGAAACAAGAGAGGTTAGTTAGGATCTACCCTTAAATGGAGTGGAGATGGGGGAAGCTTTCCCTGTCCCTCCAGCCCACAGCACAGGGGCCAATTTACCTTGCTTACCACTTTCTTTAGGTTACTGCTGTCAACACTGGGGTAAGATGGCATTAGCATTGACATGCATGTATCCTGGGAAACACTCCTTAATGCTCAGGAAGACACAGAACTGTCAGAAAACACCAGGCCGCAGGGCTGAAGAGCTGAACCGTTCATCAATGAGACCCAAAGGTGCCCATGGTGACTTTTGAACCCACCCTCCTGCTGGAGAAACCAGAGGTGGGATGGGTGTGAGTCTGAGATGAGGCAGGTTCTCCAGCTGTGCCAGATGTCAGGCCTCAAGCTGACACTTCCCCAGTCTGTGGTGTTGTGTTATGAGCAGCAGAAACAGACCAAGAAATTGTCCCTCCACAGGTGCTGCAGATGTGAGAAAAGGAGTTTGTTCAGATATTACAAGACCTAAGAGAGCACTAGAAGCCAACAATCTAAGCATCTATACCAAAGGCCACTCCCCTAAAGGCACTATAAGGAAATGTTCTAGAGGAGTTAATGCCTGGCTCGGCTAACAGGCAGAGAAATGGGAAGAAGCAAAACATCAAATTTCAGGGGACGCCATATTGGAAGGTCTTGTTCACCGGGTTAAGCAATACAGGACTACTTCTAGAGAGCGCTGGGCAGAAGGTGAAGCTACGTAGGAGGCAGGTGGACTAGAGCCTGGGTACGAGCCAGAAACACATCTTATTTCCTACCAGGAACCTTTCTGCTCAACCAGCTTTCCCCACCAGGGCTCAGCATCCAGAGACAGGCGAGAGGAATTTTCTGAAATAATTAATGGCCAATACAGTATAGAACCCAAAGGAAAAAGATATTAAATAGATGTTAAATGTGACATGACATTTACAACCACCAATTAAAAATTCAATAATGGAGAACAAAATGCTTTCCAGTTATTTCTCTTCAGCAGAGATGCCTCTTTTGAAGAAATTTGTGTCTGTGTTCAGACTGAGCCCAGGACTTGCACATGCTAGGGAGGTCAAACTCTTATCAAGACACATCCTCAGATAGGATCTTACTATGTAGCCCAGGCTGACCCTTCCCCTTATCCTCCCAAGTCCTAGAATGGCAAGCATGTACCAGGCATAAGAACTGTTGTGATTTGTCAGTCACGCTGACTGATATAACTACAGTGAGATGTGAAAGAAAACCGTTAAATTGCCTTTTACAAAAAGCCAGCCTAGTAAACCCAACAACCTTTGTTTTCCTGTGAGGTTTGGTGAGGTTTTTTTGGGGAGGAGACACTGGAAAAGCATTCTGCTCTGCCTGGAAGAGGAGAGCACAAGCCAGGTGGGCTGAGCACTTTCTGGGGGCAGGGAACCTCAGGAACACTCCTGGGGAGAATGACAGAAGTAAAACACGACCTGATCTCCAAGTAGCTTGCTGTGATGTAATCCTCTGTCTGTCTCCCCACAAAGTCTGTGGGTTCTCTGCTCACCAGCACTATGTGCAAAGGGACTATTTAAAGTAGTTTCCAAGTTGGGGAAGGGTAAAACTAACCAGCGCTGGGGACAGGGGGTGAGAGATGGTGAATATCCAGTGGATAGAGCCTATTGTCACTGCGCTGGCCACCGCATCCCAAACACAGGGCTATGCAGAGAGGCAGGTGACCAGTGGGACAGAGCACACTGGGGAAAAGCGGTAGACGCCAGCAGCACACAGCTCTGTGACCAGCTGAAGCCATCAGCTGCTTGCATCCCTGATTATTCCATTTGTGTGGCACTCGGGTTCTCCTAACTCAGCAGGCCAGCAGCGGCCACAGGAAGGACAAGAGAACAAACAACAGCAACCAGGGGAAAGTTTGTCATGGGAGAAAAAAAAACCATACACACACAGAGACAGGATGTATTTTCACTCCAAGCTCCGCTCTGGAAACCCAGCTGCTCACTCTGTATGTTAAATGTTAGCTCATTTAAAAGGAAAGAAAAAAAAAACACATCCATATCTACATAAAAGCGGCTGAAATCATCTGAGAAAGACCTCCCCTGCCTGTCCCCCACCCTTCCTGCACCCCCCTGACTCTCCTGAGCTTGATACAACTACCAATAGAAATGGAAGACTGTAATTAAAGTGAGGCCAGCTGATGTTGCTGTTCAAATTAGACTCCTTAAAAAAAAAACATTTTCAATAAAGCGAGGCTACACTCAGCATGCTTTAGTCATTACTGTAGCATTTCTCTTCCAGAAGGATTAACAAACATGAAGTCAGGGTTGAGAAATTCTGATCAAACAACGTGTTTTAAAGGGCTTTCTTCTCCCCCCTTTCATTAGCACTGTGCTGTGATTCAGTTCAATGTGTGACACGGATACGCACATGCATGCTGTGTCACTCGTACCTGGAGAGGACAATGAAACCTTCCGTGGGGTTGAACATCCCTTTCAGGGCCTGTTGGGGAAGAGCCTTACATATAAAAATGTAGGTGACAATGAATGGCCCTGTATATAAAAACATGCGCTGATTCCATTGTGAGGGGGTTGGCATTGAATTCGGGAACACAAGCACAGCGCGCTGGTGCCCTCAAGGACACTGAGCCGGGCTTGGGGGCAGGCCTTCTCGGAAACCAGGGAGACCGGGCAGACATGAGGAGGAGGCTTTCCTGGCAGCAAATGCCAGAGCTCCAGAACAAGCCCAGCACCGCTGTCTGGGACTCTCTGTCCCAGCACAGGGCACTTCAGTCTAGAAACGAATGGTAGGAAAAGGAGGGAGGGAGCAGAAGGTAGGAGGGCGGAAGGAGGGGAAGGAAGGGTTGCAAATGAGTTTGATCTCTTTCAGGAGAGATGAGCTCAGACCAGCTTAACTGAAAGAAGACATTATGTTTTCTCTATATGTGTGACGTTAAGAATAGCAGGGAGACTGGTTGGAGAGGCAGGGGCTGAGGAAAGGAGAGATGAGCATCAGTGAAGGTCAGTGGGGTTCATATGAATAGGAGTTAGCTCATATGCACAATGAAACATACAGCATATCAATATATAGACAATGATTCCTTAAAAATGCAGAACGAATGAAGGGGACACAGAAGCAAACCATGAAGAGGTTGCAAAGTATATGTGACAAGGATGGGTTTCATACCTAAAGGGCCTAGAATCCAATGTGGTCTCTGACTGAGTTAGCATAGAGGTCAGCCATAAAACCCATGTGATAGCCCCTTAAAAATGGGTACTGTTAACTGGGAACTAAAGATAAAGGCCTAGGGATGGAGAGTCTGGGATAAACATCCTGAGGAATTTGGGGCAGGTCTGTCTGCCCCACAGATAGCAAAAAATGTCACCAGGTCCTTAACAATACCTACTTCCAGCTTTCCAGGCAGGAAAACAGGTATTTTATTTCCTCCATTTGGAAAGGCCTCTGGGACCCTGCATGTTTAACATTCCTGGTTTCCCTAGTGATCTGTGGGTAGAAAGACCTTTGTGCCCCCAACATCAAAACCCATGTAGTATAATAAATTATATATATATATATATATATATATATATATATATATATATATATATATATATAATTCTAATATATATATTAGAAGCATCCATGGCAAAGGAGGAGGGGATGAAGAGCCAAGGAAATTGATACAAAAGGCCTAAGGAAATTCCTAGCACAGGCACTAGCAAAGCGTCCTGCCTCAGTCTCCTCCCTGCCATCGGCACCACCCATCCTTCCTACTCCACAGTTTCATTCCTCTCTCCCACACCCACGTTCTTCTCTCAATCCATATGGATGTGTACAACGAGTCCACGGTCAGCCTTCAGCTGCAGCAGAAAAACCCAGACCGCTTCAGAATCCCCAACCAGCTTCCCCAGAACAGGAACTGAGCCAGCCCGCATGCGCACATCTGTGAGGCTGAGCAGCATCGATCCAGCGGGATTTCTAGGCTGAAGAGGAAGTGTAAAAGAGGATATAAAGGAAACCAGTAAGAAAGGAAGAGAAAAACAAGGGAGGAGGCCAAGGAGGACTGAAGAATGTGTTTTTCATCACACTCAGAGGAAGTGCGGTGTTCCCCTCGCCCTCAGTGAAAGGATAAAACATGACAGGGGAAAACCTGGCGTTAGCAGACTTCCCCTGAGGTGCCTGTGGCAACCTCTGGAATTCCCCCTCCATCTGTCCCTTATTCAGTAGCTACCACATAAGAGCAGCCTGACAGTACACCCACAGAGGCTCTGGGGAGCATGAGCTGTGGGTGAGGATGATGGTCCCACCGTGACCTAACTTCCTGTCAGTCTCTCTCCACACTCCACCTCCACTAACACCTTGTCTCTATCTTTTCCAGAGTCACTTCACTGAAGACAAATCCGAGCAAATGACGGAATCCACGCTACCTTTCCCTTCAGTACTCTAAAACCCTACCTTCCGTTTACTCCCGAACCATTCACAGTGCAAAGGATGGAAGATGCAGGGGTTAGGGTCCTGCCCCATGCTCCATGCTCCATGCCCGGTGCCCCGTGTCCTCTGCTTCTGCAGCAGAGGCAGTTCGCACGAGGTGAGCAGGCCTCTAGCTCCGGAGACCCTCCTGTGGTGTTTTCAGATGTGCTCCTTTGCTTATTCTGCTGGACACATGACAAATTCTTCTAGATACCAGGCCAGGCACAAGGCACCAGCAGTACAGCCATTAGCACCACAAACCCCAAGATCTTACTTCCACAAGCACCTCAGACTCGTGAGGACACACTGGGGAAACTCTACCAGGTAAACCAAGAACATGGAAAGAGTATGTTGTCTGCAGGGAGTGAGGCTGCGGATGAGTCAGTGAAGGTTCCCTTGACTGGGTGGAATTTAAATCGATCAGAAAACCCATGCATTAAGGGTTGCTTAAACAATGTACCACCTCCCTGTAAGAACAGCAGTCAGGAATTAGGTTTCAGCCTAACGACGTATCTTATGATTTCTTTATAGCTCGTTCATGATAAGTCAACCACACCTGTGAGGGTCTGTCTTCAAATGCAACTATATCTAAGGTGTGAGTGATCAGGACTTCTGGATATGAATTCTGGAAAGGTCCAATTCATCCCATAAAACTCTGCTTGGTGCCGATCTAACTGCTGCTTAGGAGAAAAGCTATGGACAGGAAGCAAGACTCTGAGAGAAATGGAGCCCCCCCCCCAGCTTGTATTATTTTTATGTGTCTGTGATAAAATACATGATATAAATACCTCAAGGGAGAGGAGACATATTAGGCAGATGGTTTTAGAAGGCTCAGCCTGTCAGAACAGCTCACCGCGTGTTTAACCAGGGGCCAGGGAACACAGAGAGAGAGCGCTGGTCTTCAGCTTTCTTCTACCTGCCCCTTTATATTGTCTCTGGACTACCAGCCCATGAGCTGCTGCCACCCACCTCAGGAAGGGACTCTCCACAGAAATTGATCTCCGGAAATACTCTCTCAGGCAGGGGGAGATGGCGTTCGGATCCCTAGCACCTGCAGGTGGCAGCGTGCGCTCTTACCCAGTGCTGTGGAGAAAGACGGGAGGATCCCTCAGGTTTATGGACAGCCAATGGACCGCTTCAAGCTCAGTGAGACACTGTCTGAAAAGGTAAAGTGGAAAGTGATGGAGGGATATACCACACACACACAGAAACTCCCCTCCCTCCCAGACTTACCCAGGGTTGGGTCTATACCTCAGTGAGTTGAAATCCCGTCACACTGATCATCATTAACCACCGCACCGAAGAGAGTTTTTAAAATTACGGTGATGATTAAGCTGAGGAAGCAAGAATCTGGGACTCAGGAGTTTGACCTACATGGACATGTCTTTGGGGAAGGTGACATTTTGAGGAACATGGAAGCCTGCGAAGGAACCATCTACACCCAGCAGTGTGAGTGAGCGTGGCCTGCAGCTGGGGGAGTCCCCAGGTTCTTCCCTACCACACTTTTCATTCATTCTTCCTCCTTCATCAAGGGCGTTATTTACCAAGCAATTCTGAACAAATGTAAATCAACCTTCAGTATTTACCCAAAAGACTCCGCATCAGTGCATCACAGAGCTATTTGCACATCCATGTTTACTGCAGCACTATTCCCAGCAGCGAAGTCCCGGAACCAACCTAGGTGCCCAACAAGGGAGGAACAGATAAAGAAAAGGCATCCATACACGCCGGAATTGTTTAGCTATAAGAAAAAAATTCCACTTGCAGGAAACAAACACGGCTGTAGACCATCATACGGGTGAATCAAAACAGTCTCAAAAAGACAAATATTGTAAATGTTATGCTGAAACACGGGATTATATATGTGCAGATAGCACAAAAGTAGCAAGCAGACATTGTCTACGGGAGTAAAAGGGACCAATAGGAGGGAGGAGGGGTGAGAAGAAGCTGGAGCAGGGAATGGGAGTGAGACACTAAAAGTCCGTTATATCCACGCCCTGCCTGATGTCACCCAGCCCAGGGGAATACAATGTCCATCCCATAGGCAGATGGATAATATTGATATAAACAGATGAGCACCTTGCTCGCTGTGTTCTCCGTAGACCCTCACTGACACGGCAGGCTTTTCTGAAATGGGGAAGTTTATGCCAGACCCAGAGAGATAGCCAGCGATGGAAAGGGCAAGAAAAACAAATGTTGTTCCCACTAGAAGACACAAGTGCAAAAGCCCTGAGGCAGGAAAGGGTTAAGTAAGCACAAAGAAGCAGAGGAGGTCAGTGTGAGTAAAGACCCTGATTGGAGGGGAAAGGGATACCAGAGGAGGGCAGGAAGGGTCAAGCAGAGCCAGGCTGTGGCTGGAAGACATTTGAACACACCTCGATGACGCTAGAAGCTGGAAAATAACTAACAGAACAGCAGTGAGCGCCTCGGGTGAGTGAGGACTTTGACCTTGGGAGAGAAAAGGGGCAGTTCCGTGTTCACAAATTCAGAGCCTATGATGGAAGCCTGTGGAAGGGGTGTGTGTGTAGGCTGAGAGGCTAAATTAGTTCAGAGATGAACAAATGAGTAATCAGCTACGCATTTGACAAGACACACTGGCAGGCCTGTTGTTTTGTGTAAGGGCTGTCCTAACATAGCCACCCATGCCCCTTGGCTATCTGGTACCTGCAGCAGACTAAAGCACCTATTACCATGCACAAGTAGGCCACTGCGCTACCCATGGTCAAACCAAACTTTTGCTGCAGAACCTTTTGAATTAGGTCTAAAAGCTGGGGGAGTGTGATTAGTGTGAAACCGCAGACCACAGAGCACGCAGGAACTGCGGCTGAGCCAGGTCAGGAGGAGGGAAGACAGCAGTTCTGCTTTGCAGTGGGACTTCTCCATCTTCCCTCCTGTTCCTCCGCCCTCCCTGCCTCTGTTCTTCCTCCACACCAGCCCAGGTACCTCTGGTAGCCGGGGTACACCCACCTCTGTGGACCCTGGGGTCTAGACTAAAGTCCACTAGAATAACTGGGCCATTGAATTTGAAATTAAATCGCCCCCACGGGCCTTCTCTTTCCAGCTAGTGAGCTCATCACGGCTCAGATAATGGAACAGCTCTTGCCACTAATGGGCCATGAGCAAGTGAAGGAGGGAAAAATGCCCCTCTATGACTCCACTACGGAGAGACAGGAGGAGAAGGTCACTGACAAAAGCACCAAAGTTTTTAGTGTTTGGGAAGAACCTTCCTGTGACTAGGGAGGATCTAGAGCATAAAAAATGGACTCACCGGGATGTGTTTATAGACAGAACAGACATGCACTCCAGAGACTTAAGTCCAGGCTTCTGAAATCTACCACCCTAAAAGATCCCACTGCAAACCCATCCACAGACAAGAGCACGGGAAAGCCTCTGAGTCAGAAGAAACTTTAGAGGCCGTGGAGGCTGCTTGCCATTGAAAAGTGGAATGCACGGAGACAACCTAACGTGGCTTGACTTGGACCACAAGGGCCACAGGTGTCAAAACACACAGGTGTCCCCCCTCCAGGAACTGTGAGGCCTCTGACAGGGACTAGAACACTAGGAGTAGCAAGATTTGCCAGAAATGGCTAGGCTCACCAGGAGGCTTCTGGGATTCAGTTCTAGAGCACATCTGCAGCTGCTAGCAACTAAGAAAGTGCTGGGTACGGAAACCTTCTGAAGACTGGACTCCGCTGATGCTTCTTCCAGGGCTAAAAGGAAGGCCCCTTCTTGCCTGTCACCCAGGGTTATGTGCTTGGAATTCTGATCACTTTGAAAAGGTAAGATCTAGTCAAGGGAGGGAATTAGATATGAGGGTATGTAGGCAGAGTCAGGAAAGCAAGAGTGCCCAAGTGTGTGTGGACTAGAAAGGCTTCCCTGGAGGGATGGTAATAGCAGCAAAGTGGGCATCGTCACAGCTGAGAGGGAATGCCCAATGCCTTGTGCACAGAAGGTAAACTGTTCCTGACTGGTCCCATGACAGTCACTCAGGCCGGACTGCGCTCCAGGCCCAAAACTGCTCAGGGTTGCTTCCGTCATTCTTAGTGGGGAGCACCTCTCTTGTGCCCACTAGCATTGGGAGCAACACAGAGACACATCTGAATCTCCCCCATCGAGGAACCTGCAAAGAGACGGCACACATCCAGAAAACCTACTGTCAGAGAGGCTCGGAGGGGGTGTTTAGAGCATGGGAGTTACATGGAGACACAAACATTTCACAAGCTATGGCCTCAGTTGTCTTAATTAGATCCTGTGTATAGTGGACCAGGAAAGGGGTCCATCACTATGGCAACCAAGTGGAACACAAGTAAGATCAAGAGGCCCTGAGAGTCAGAAACCTCTCCTCAGCCATCTCCCCCAAGGATGTCCTAGAACCTACCAGGAGCAAAGGTGGTAACTATTATAGTTTGGCTGTGAGATGTCTGGACACTTGGCCCCGAACATAGTACTGTTTTGGGGACCTTTAGAATTGTGATCTGGCTAACAGAGGTGGGTTACTAGGGGTGGCCCTTGAAGGCAGCATCCACTTCTGGTCCCAGCCTGGACTTTCTGCACGCTGACGTGTTACCTTATAGTCCTGGAACAACCACTCCAACTGATGTGCCTTTCCACTGTAGCCAACTGACATCCTCTGAAACTACAGCAATAGAAATCCTGCCTCCCTCGAGGAGCTTCTGTGGTGCATTGTCAGTGAGGAGGAAAGTAAGAAAGGCGGTCACCAAGGAGAAGCTTGACCAAGCTTTCCCAGCTCCCAGCAGCTGTCCACTATCATGCTCTTCCCTACTGCCACCTCTCCTAATCATTAAGAACCTCCGTGTTCCTACTCATCTTAGAGGAAAGCCTCTGGTTCACACAGTATTTAAGACGCTAGAAAAGGGTTCGAATGGCAGGCCACCATCTCTGTGCTGTCCTCCTTGAAAGGCTTTGGCCCACATAGGGAAGTCCAGTGACCCCAACACTGCTAGGCCTCCCACTTCAGAGGAAGGGAGGAAACTCTCCCGCCACCCACCAATGAACGAGGCTTTAGATTACCTAAGCTTTGCTAGAATTCCCCTAGTTTCCTATAAAAAGGCCTGTGCACCTTTGTCTGGGGTCGCCATTTTGTAAAATGGTTTCACCCTTGCATGCAGGTTTTTTTCAAATAAAACACTCTTGCCAAGCACCACCATGTGGGTGGTGCTCTCCGTGCGGTGATTTCGGATTTAAGGTTCACCTCCAACCCCCGCAAACCACCTGGCTGTGGGCTTGACCCTGAGATAGACCCTGGCTTCAGGGAACGCTGCAGGTGGCTATCTAGTGCAGTGGTTGCCATTCTGGGGGATCTGTGACTCCTCAAGGCGGGTTAAGTCCCTGAGTAGGGCTGTTTTCTCTTGGAGGCCAGAGCCATTGCTTCTGGAGTCCTCTTCTAGGGAGGGCCTCTTTGCTTTCATATCTGCTAATATCTAGATGGGGATCGGGGCTGCTTTCTCTCACCATTGCTCTTGACCTGGGACAGGGGTCACAGAAGGCACTAAGGCCCCAAGAAGATTATTGTTGGATGTCTGTAGAGATCAAGGCCCCGTTCTCCAACCTCTAGCTGAACCTCAGAGAGGGTCAGGGCCTCAGGGACTCCAAGTGATTCTGAGTCTGGCTTTGAGACTGGCTTACTAAAGGCACATGTATGATAATATACGCACAAGGACACATGCATGTTCACACCTATGGGAAAGCATACATATACCCCACCTATATGTACAGTGATAGCAGCAGACATGCTAATCTCTGGCCTCCACATGCAACACACACACATACATGTGCTCATGCACACGCTCACACACACACATACACACATACATGTGCATATAGATACACATACACACATATATACACACTCATACGTACATGTATACATACACACACACAGAGTTAGAAGCGACTTCAGCGGAATCTATTTGGACAGTGCACACAGCCAGCCTGAGCAGAGGTGGATGGGCCGTGGCTCAGAACAACCCGCTTGTTCTAATGCTTTCACTCCTCTGCCCTGAGCAGAGAGGCCCCTAGCACCTTCTTGTCCCATCTGCCAAAGCACACTTCCATAGCCGCCGGGGGGTGTGGCCAGGCCCTCCTGAAATCCACGCCCGCCAAGCCCACTCTGGCTGTGTCTGTTTCCGGGGCCAGCTTCAAGCAGCACGCTGTGGGCACGTGCCCGCTGAAAGCTGGTTTGCAAAGCAAACTCCATGAAAACAATACCCAGGTGCGCACAGAGGGAGCCGCACCAGGGGCTGTAAAATGCACAGGCGGGGATGCGTCCAGCGCCGTGCCCACTTGGTCTCAGTGGCAACAGCATGGGAGGTAGCCGGGCGCCCCCACACCTGAGCAGAGCGGCTGGCCTCCTGCTCCCCGCAGGTTTGCCTGAGCTTTCCCGTCGCAGCTCCTGTCCCGCAGGCTCCCAGGGCAGAGGGGTCTCCGTCCTCTGTGCCAGGTGGGCGCCCCACAGAGATGGGCTCTGGTAGACCTCAAGGGACCCAGAAAATGCCCTATGTGGCGCTTGCCCCGGGGACACAGTGGAAAGGCTGAGCACAACCTGCGCACATCCGTCCATCACGGAAGGAGGCCAGTGCTGGCCCTGGACAGCCCTGCCTGGGGGGATCCAGGAAGAGTCCCAGGCGAGGTGACATTGCAGCACTGAGCAGATGGGCGGAGAACATCTCTCAGCTCCCTCGGGCAGTTCGCCTGCGGTCAGGATCTGGGTCGCGCCAGGCCGCTTGGTTGGTAGCTCCCTGGAGAGAGCTTACTAGCTCAGACTCCAGTGAACTTTCTTCCCTCCGTTCCGCCCTCGCTGAGGCTCTGACTCCGGAGTCTCTGCCTTCAGAAAATGCTTCCTGTGCACACTGCTTCTCCATCTCCACTCTGGGAACTTGGTGCAGACACTGGCTTTTAATTTGATTTTTGTTTGACTTGGTTTCTCATCGCCGGGGGAAACACGAGTGTCAGGAAAACAGTGAGTGACATAGTCAGCTTCACTAAGTTGTTTAGGGTGCTCTTCATCTACAAATGTTCCTATTGTAATCACCAAAAGATCAGGGGTTTAGACTGTCCCTGGTTCCAGCGTCCTTCCCACCATAACGCTCAACTTCCGGACGTTGTCATACAGCCAGTCAGGGACCCCACAGTCTGCATTTGCTGGCTGGATCCCCAAGATGTCACCGAAGCAAGTTCCGCTCCCTGAATTTCCTGAAAATTGATCTGTAAAATTAAAGAATCTGATTTAAGTATGGCTCTGTGGGTCTATCTCAGGGTCAAGCCAGGTGGTTTGTGGGGGTTGGAGGGGAACCTTAAATCCGAAATTACGGAGGTGCACGGAGAGCACCTCACACATATGCAGTTGGCA